ACTGTATTGTATTTTATACTGTTGGAACCTGCCCTGAGCCCACTCGTGGTGGGGAGGGCAGGATATAAATCCAAATAAATAAATAAATAATTGACACTGTGCTCTTCAGGCTGGCTAGGGTGTCATCGGATTCCTTCCACCTCCCCTTCTGGCCCAGGACCACCTTTCTCCTGTAGCATAGATACGGACTGTGGGGTGGGCAACAGCAATGAGGGGGACTGGAGCACTGAGGACTGGCTGGACCACTCTGCTGGAGGAGGTAGGTGAGGTAGGGGTTGTCCTACAGTGGGTACACTGCCCATATTCTCCCCTGGGGGGTGCTTCCTTCTGCCCTGTTGCTGATCCTCTGCTGGAAGACTCCTCAGGGCCTCAGAACGGGAGGGGGTTTAGGCTACCTGTTTTCTCCTCCTCCCTCGTAAACTGCCTCACCTTGTGCAGCCTAGAGATCAGCCATCATTCTTCCTCAACAGCCCATCATTTGGAGCTTCCTTATATCCTCCTCCCCCTCTATGCTGGCTCCACCCTCCTCACCTCCAAGTGAGGTGAGCCCTGCCCATAGTGCCGCAACTGCCCTGTTTGGCCCCTTGGGGTAGAGGCCTTATTCCAGGCCCCTCCCTTCTGCCTCCCTCTCAGCATCTCCTGGGCACACTCAGGAGTGTGAGAGGCCAGCAGTGCTGGAGGCAGCCATATGCCTACTGGCCACTCCCAGGGGCCATCTTCTGGCGGGTCCACTCCACATTGGGGTGATGCCATCACTTCTCCCACCATCTCAGGAGCCCCGGCATTAGGCTTCCTGACCTCTGCTGCTCATATCTCTCCCATCATGGGCCTCTGCACTGGCCTCCTCGCCACCATGTGGACTCCATTGCCACTGCCATCTTCTCCACTGTGGGTCCTGCCGGAGTGGGCCTCCTTGTTGCCGCAGAGACTTTCAGTCATTGGTGCTGCTGTTCCCCTCACCGTGTCTGGGCAAGTTTCTCCACTGCCGCCCAGGCTCTGCTCTGAAAGGGGAGATCTCCTGGCTCAGAGGTGGTGGGCCATGCACCAACCCTAGTTGGGGCAGGGTTGCTGGGCCTGATGCTCTCAATCCCAGACATCAAATACATGAACTGTTCAGACTACACAACAGTGATGTCATCCACAGGTTCTAGGCCTGTATGTGGATCTATACATACATGCATTTTGCAATGCCTTAGTATTTCTGGGAAGCAGCTGCCAGCAGACCTGGCTCAGACAAATCAGTTCTTTTTTTCATTTACTTAAAAGCAGAAGACAAAACAGCAGCTTTTGCAAGATGATTACGCTGGAAGCTCTGGGATTCTCAGCCAGTATCCTACAGAGGTACCGTCACTCCCTCTCCAGATGTAAGTTGGCCTAAGTTCCTGGTTCAGCAAGATCTACAACAACCATTTTCAGCCAGTTATCACTGTGGAACCTTGAAATATGTGGCCAGTTGCTGCAAAGCCATTTTATGCAGACTCTGACTTGTTTCACAATGAGCATGTGAAGTGTGTCAGTGGTATGTAATTTAGGCATACTTTTTTATTACTAGAGTCAGCCAATTCAAAACCACAGTGTGTTCTTTTACTTTTTTAAAAATAATTTTTATTTTGAATTTTTTGAGGGAATACAGAATAAAGAAAATGGGTAAGGGGAAAGGGGAAAGAATACAAGGTACAATGACCAAAGCACAGTATAAAGGGAATTTTTTTCAAATATAAAGGACAATCCTTGATTCAAATACTTGAATTTTTAGGAAAATTACATAACGCTATAACTTTAAAAACCACTATAACAACCTACTCAACATTATACCATTTTCTCATAATATATTCACATTTTTATCCTATCTTATCCTATCTGGCATGATGTGGTCCATGGGGTCGCGAATAGTCGGACTCGACTGTGCGACTGAACAACAACAATCAATCTTATCAGTTATAAGATAAATGATGAATAAACTCATAAAATGTGTGTGTAATTTTAACACAGCAGTTTGTTGTGATAATAACCATACAAAAGAAAACATCTTTAGTATTTCATACTGAAACTATCATATAATATAAACCATTCAATAGCATAACTACAGAGATTGGTTATAGTAATCATAGAAGACTCACCATTTAATTCAAACTCATCTTTCGATCTCTGATTAAGTTTGCCAGTTTTATTATTTATTTATTTATTTAATTCGGTTTATACCCCGCCCTTGCATTTTATCTATCAAATTCTCAAGAGCTGGACAATTTTCAATTTTCCTGTCTGCGTTTACTTGTAGAATTCTTACTAACATTGTCTCTAGTAACACAGCAAATTTTATATTATTTTTTTTAAAATTTCAGTATCATTTCTATCCAATATTTTGTTGTTGTTCAGTCGCACAGTTGAGTCCGACTCTTCACGAACCCATGGACCAGATCACGCCAGGCCTTCTGGTCTTCCACCGTCCTCTGAAGTTTGCTCAACTTCATGTTTGTTGCACCTATGACACTGTCTAACCATCTCATCCTTTGCCGTCCCTGTCTTCTTTGACCTTCAATCTTTCCCAGATTCAATTCAATTCAGAAATATTCAATCCAATATTTACTAGGGTTTTTTTTTTTGAAGGACCACCACATATAGTAAAGGGTACCATCTCTTTACATTTCCAACACAGTCCTTTATAGTTTCTATCCATCTTCTCAATATCTTTTGGGGTAATGTGTCATGCCAGCCACATGACCACAGAGAAGTCTTCGGATAGCGTTAGCTCTTCGACTTGGAAATGGAGATGAGCACTGGCCCCTAGAGTCGGATTTGACTGGCTTTTGAGCAAGGGAAACCTTTACCAGCGATAAAATATTTTATACCAATTTTCTCTAAGTGTTTGATTTGCAGTAAATTCTATGTCTTTTGTCCATAGTTTTTCCAATTGCTATTTTACTGATGGGCAACACAAACAGTTTGGAAACCAAAGATTATACACCAGAGATGGGCATGAACCACAAAAATGCATTTCTATTCATGGGTGAACCATGAACCCCATGAACCTGAACTGTGCCCAAAACAGCTGAGCCCTGTGGAGCAAACTGCTCCAATGGCTTAGCTGTTTAAAGGGGCTTTTCTTTGGCAGCCAGCTCCAGGCTTGGAGCCATTTAAACCTGTTTTCTGCTCCCAGCGGCTTTTTTGGGAAGCAGAAAGCAGCAGTTTAAATGGCTCAGCTGTTTTTCATGAAGAGCAGAAACCTTTAAGTAGTATTGTTACCTGCTGCTTAAGGGGCTTTTTTTGGGGGGGGATATGTAGATTTTACAGATTATAACAAGCTTCCAGGTTCTAAAAAATATGAGGGCCTGCAGGAGATTAGTTCCCTCCCCCCAAAAAAACCCCTAACAAGCAGATCTAGGTAAGCTGTTGTTTTATTGTCCCTGTCCCTGAAGAAAACAAGTGAAAAGGTACAAGTGAGTAATTATCTAACCAATGCCGTGATCTCTACATGTTGTTTTAATTAATTTATACCCATTTCTTATTGACACCTGCAGCATTTGCTAGAATCCAAGATTAAATACACAATAAACTTAACCCAAATGTGTTCGATATTGAGACAGACCATAGTGATTCAGCTCAAAATCAGTGAAAAGGGAAAAAAGGACTCAACACCTTTTTGTAGGTTAGTGACCTTATTCATTTAACAAAGGCACACATTGACTAATCAGGACCACACAGTCAAGCACATTAAACTTTTCTACAAGTGTAGAGGGTACAGAGAGGGTACAGAGAAGAATGAAGTGTATAGCATTCTCTCAGGTTTCTTTTTGAATAGTTAAAACCAGACCAATTGCCACAGCAGCATCAAAAACATTGTGCTGGGTGAAGCAAGTCTAATCAGAACTGCAATAACAAAAATCTGGGCATCACTGCTGATTCTGCAAGGCTTACGTTGAATGCAACGACAAAGAATACATGATCCATTTCTTTGTAGCTAATATCAACAACTGGCATTTCTATTAGCACCACTCTACAGTAATTTAGCTTGATGGCACTTTTGACATCAAAAACATAGAGGTGCTATAAAGACTATACTTTCATATCCATCAAGACACATCTTTGAGATGTACCATTCATAAGGCACATATCTTGCACTGACATACTTTACTATGGCTAAATTGTTCTCCAGCTTTCTATCCCAAGCAGAATTTTCCACTAACAACTTGCATTATTATATGGTAGCTTCATGGTTCTTTATAACGTGGTTACTGCACGAAATTTTAGACGACCATGTCTTAAGATAGCTAATACCAGGGGTCATTTAGTAGAAAAAGAGGTGCAGGAGCTCATTAGCATAACTTATTTGCATATGCCACACCCCTGACATCACCGGAAGTGTGTCAGAAGGCAACACCCACCTTGTCTTAAGATAGCTAATACCAGGGGTCATTTAGTAGAAAAAGAGGTGCAGGAGCTCATTAGCATAACCTATTTGCATAAGCCACACACCCTGACATCACCGGAAGTGTGTCAGAAGGCAACACCCACCACTCAGGCTCCACTGGACTGTTTTGGATTCCTAGCTATCGGAGGGGGGGGACAGGGGGGACGTGCAGATCTGTCCTCGCAGAGGAGGGAGAGCTTGTACCTGAATAAAACTTGGTCTTAAAGGTGCCACTGGACTGTTTTTGGACTGGGGGAGCAGGGGGGGGGAGAGAGGCTCTGCAACTTACCTGGCTGCTTTTTGCTCTGACTGATGGCTCCTGGGAGCAGGGGGTAGGGCTTCTTGCATGTGCCCGCCCCCTGGGCTCTTTACTGCTGGAGCTCCGTTCCTGTGCGCTCCTGCAGGAAATGACCCCGGCTACTACTAAGAAAACTTTTCTTCCATGTCGCTTCTGTCACCCTCTGCAGTGGGGATTTATTTACTTCTTTCAATGTTTGTCATTTTGCTTTTCCACAAAATGGGCAAACCTCTAGTACCCCTTCTACAAACAGAATGTGTCCCGGAAACACAGATGTCACAATGTTTTACTTACGGATGTGGTTTCATTTCAATATAGTTTTGGGGAATGAATCCATCTTTGCCATTGAGTTCTGCCTTGTACCAATTTTGATCGCATTCTTCATTCAAAACCTGAGGAAAAGAAAAAAAAAAGTACTTCTGAATAACATGTTCATGTATCTTTGATATAACATGTTCCTGATATACCTTTTTAAAACATGCTTTGCTTAAAAAAAAAAAGTGGTTTCCAAGTCCTCTCCCATCCTGCTCCAACAACCAAAATGTAAAATTCTAAGATTGTTCTACTGAATTATTTAAGATTGTCCATTCTGTATTTAATCTTTAAATAAATGTCTCCAAATGAACTCTGCCTAAAGTAGATCTGACACTTCACTACGAAACATAGGTCTTAGAAAGCATATCTTCTGAGAGGATAAAGAGACCGATACATCGCTCACATACATGCTAGGCTCCATTCTGTAGCTTTTAAGAAAGCCAGTGTACTATAATAGTGAAGAATGTCAGATTTGCAGCTGAGTTCAAATCCCTGCTCTGCTATGAAGGTCACTGCATGACACTGGGCCAGTGTTTCAGCCTAACCTATCTCAAAGGTTGTTAGGAAGATAAAAATGGGAGAGGGCCATGTACCCCTGAACCCCTTGGAGAAGGGGTGGGATTAAACAGAATCAAGTCAACGTGAAAAAATAGTCATTGTGCTGAAAACCTATATTCTAGAAGCCTTTAACCTGCTAATGCAATTCACACTTTTTCATTTCAGTGTCTTACTTAGAGAGGGAACGTGCCCATCTCACCTGCTCCTCCAGCCTTCCCCATGGGAAATTGAGAGCTCACATACATTTGTGCCCTTCCCCCATAAGGAAGGGCACAACAAAAGCTTCATGCTGTGTGTTTTAATGTTCTGATGGCTGTTGCTTTGGGGACCCTATTTGAGTAGAAAAGTGGCATAGAATTTTTTTAAGATAAAAAATCAATTAAATGTTACTTGTTACTAGGGTTGGGCACAAACTGAACCACAAAGCAAAATTTATCACAAATCTTGCTGTTAAAAAAAACAACAAATTTTGCCGTTCATGGTTCACGAACAGAAGTTCATGCCGGGTCTATTGTCACAAACTTCCACGAACTTTTAAAGCAGTTTGTAGATAGAGCAAAAAGCAGGGGCTTAAAAAGATTCTGAGTCCCTTTAAACCCCACTTTCTGTTCCCCCACAAAAGCTGCAAAAACAGCCTGCTCCCTGCCGCTCAGCTGTTTTTCAGGCTTTCTTGTGCAGTCACCTTAAACTTTAAAGGAACTGCACGAGAAAGTGTGAACCAGCTGAGTTTTGGGAAGCATGCTCTCCCCCCATTCTGCAAATCCCATTTAAGGGGACTGTGGCTCCTTTCAATTAGGTTTGGGGGCCTGCAAACCTCCCTGTTTGATTTGGTTCATGGTTTGACCACAAACCACGAAGTGACATGTAAACAAATAACATATATTTTGTTTTACATTACTCAGTACAGTACTACCTTTGGTTATTAAGTGATAATATGTTCCCCTCAGTATATTGATATTGATAATTGATGTAATTGTTATTCTGAGTGTAAGTGCAGAGTTTGAACCTATTAGCATATCTGATTACTTAGTATATCTCACAGGTGTAACCACTTATGATATGCGGTGTTAGTCAGGAGTATTCCTTCCTTTGACATATAATTTAGTATCGGTGACCATGTTTTAATAAATCTCATATGTGAAGCTATGCTTCTCTGTTGTGTTCTTTGTATTGAGTCCGCGATTTTGGCCATAACGAACTGTTGCCATAATTTATCATGCCACACTGCCAAAGAGGGTGGTAAGGGTGATTTCCATCCTGCTGCTATTGTCAATTTGGCTGTTGCAAGTAGTGTCGAGATAGTCTCCCTAGTGTTGTCTACTATCGAATCATCCCATATATGTAGGAGTATAACTTCCGGTTGAAACACAATTTCCTGAGACGTTATCACCTTAATTTGAGCTGTTACTTCTTTCCAGAAATGTTTAATTTGTGGGCAGTCCCACCAGCAATGGAGGTACGTGCCTTCTTGTCTGCACTTCTTCCAGCATCTGGGATCATTGTTTATATTTATTTTGTGCAGGTGTTGTGGAGTTAAGTACCATCCTGACATCAATTTGAAGGTTTGTAAGTGGATGTTGTGTACTGGTGAGTTATTTGCAGGTGATGACCAAATTATGTTCCAGTCTGAGTCTTGCCGCTGTATGTTCAACTCTTCTTCCCAGCGAAGTTGATGTTTTAATTTGGTTTGGTTTTCTGTTATTATGATCGTTTTATAGATTGTTGATAAAATTCCTTTTGGTGAGTTTGGGTAGATTTTGAACCACATTTTTCCAGTTCATGCCCATCCCCAGTCATTACTTGTTGTTTTAAGCCTTATTTTTTGACATCAAGAAAAAATAAAAAAATGACTATACAATAAAGAGTATGTGTGACAATTAGACCAGAGAGAACCTGCCTTATACTGTTGTATTTTGTGTCCTCCTGAAACCAGAGTGGTTCCACAGCTCAAGCTTTAGCTTACCGCCACCTCTTCAAAACCAATGCCCTCAGAGTGCATTTACTGGCAAGACCACCTATGCAAGTAGAGGTATACTCAGAAGTGAGTCCCAATGGGGCTTACTCATATAAATAAAACTACATCCTAGTCCGTTTTGTCACCCAATTTTTTTAGTCTATTAGCCATCTTGTTTTTACATATCAAATACCTTTTTAGATTTAGTATTTCGAAATAATTTAAAGATTTAAAAAACATAAAATATGATTTACTTTGGAGAAAACATTTTAAGATTGTTTTATAATACTTTCACAGAGCACAATAGTGACTAAAATGCCATTTTTATTTATTTCGTAGTCTGCTTTTCTTCCGGAGATTCAAGGCGGATTACAGGACATAAAACAGTGCAAACAGTGTAAGACAACCAATGAATAATGCAATAGCAGTGTGACTACAGAATCAAAGAACAATGCAATCAACAAACTATCTAAAGCAAGGTGTATTATAAACAATACAAAATTTGGATTACAAGGTAAAGACAAATGCAGCAAAAGCAGTATTCCACTATAAGGTGCCCTCCTGGGACGTTCCATTCTACTACAGTTCTAATCTCTTTTGAACATTTGTTTCGCACATTCTGTGGAATAACACATGTGTGGGAGCTTTCCTGAACTCCTCAGGCAGGTCATTTCACAAGGTGGGAGCCTTAACGGTATGTGAACGGGCAGCTTCCCACCTTAGCCATTTGTAGGGTGGCATCTTTAGAACGCTTTGCTCATCTGTCACAGGAGAGTACAGCAGGGGAGGTGGTCCTGCAGGTATGAGGGTCCAAGGCCATTCAAGTCTTTGCAGGTGATAAACAGAACCTTGAACTGAACTAATCAGTTAATGTACTGTCTACAGAATGAGTGTGACATGCATCTTGCATCTGGTGTCTGACAGTAACTTGACTGTGTCGCATCAGCTAGAGTTTCCAAGCTGTCTTTAAGGGCAAACCCATACAGAATGGAAAAACGTAGATGGAAGAATGCTTTTTTTTTTTTTTTTGCAGCTGTGTTAACTTGCTTCTCCAGCAATAATGCTGGATCCAGTATAACCCCATGGCTCTTAACTAAGACTGTGAGCATCAGCTGGACCCCACTGAATGTGGAAAGCACAGTGCCCATTACTACCTCTGCCTTGTCAGGATTCAGTTTCAACTTGATCACTCTTAACCACTACAGTAAGGCACTTGTGAATGATCTCCACAGCATTGTCAGGCATTTTGGATAAAGAAATACAGAGCTGGGTGTCATCAGCATACTGATGACAACCTGTTCCAACACCATGAATGATTTCTTCTAAGAAGGGCTTTACTCAAATTAAATCTGAAAAATTAGCTGACTAGTGCAACTGATTAATGCTTTCAGATCTCCTCTTACCATAGGTATATTCCAAACATTGGTATCTAAAAATACTATGTCACTTTCCCCATACAAAATGCAAGTAAGTAAAAGCTCCCATTAGCAATGATTCCCTTCTATGGGTTTTTTAAAAAGTTCATTTCATACGCATTGTATACAAGTTAATGCATGGATACTGCTGTGCTTTGTAATATAGACTAACCTGACATCAGGAATAAGTATTTAATAGTGCTGTTCAGGACAAGGCCTGCATTTTGATGTTCTGGCTGAAGGTATCAGCAGAAACCTGGAAGCCAAACATCATGTTTCATCAACAGTGGGAGATAATTCCATTTCTTTGTAGGCATCAGATATGAAGCTGAAATTCTTATGGCACTGAAAGCCAAGTCCGTAATTAATCCAGCCAAACTGATGGGAAATAAAGCAACTGTTTCTTTTATGTTAGAACATTTGTGCTGTTTTTAGCAGTTAGATTTAAACACAGAGGCTGCCACAATATTGCCTCTGTCTGTATCCAGCAATGTACTATAGTAATGCAGTAAAGAGGCTCAAGATTGCAGCCTGTCAGCTCCCAGTCTGATAAGAGATCTGTCATCAATACAAACCCATTTGTCTCCATGGTAACAAAGAAAAGGCAGCTTTTTCAGCAAAAAAAGCACTACAGAAACTGATGAGGTCCTTCGTCTTACATTATCATGAACCAGAAAAATCCTCATCCCTCCACTGCATAGGTCACTCTTGCTGCAAAATTGCCAGACCCCTCAGCCGGGAAATGCGGAACATACAGAGAAGTCTAAAACTCTGGCTGACAAAGTCATACTGTGAACAGCAGAATTAAGATTGCAGAATCTGACATCACACACTGCATTTTTCTTTTAAAAATGTGTTTCGAGCCATCAGGGCTGAGGAAAATGGCATTTCCCTGAAAGACTGCAAATTGCGCTGGTAGCATTTACAGTCCTTATGACCCTAGTTACATTCCCCCCCCCCTTTTCTACCCTATCAATTTCCAACATACTCAAAATTCTGAAAAGAAAACAGAGTGCCTGAACCAAGCAATCTCTCTAACTATGTATTTCTATGCCCCGTTTATTTAAAGAGAGAATATGTTTTGCATCACACAATTTGTTTTTTAAAATGCCATTTGTAATCCTTCTCTACTACAACCACAAGACACTGT